TCCACCGAGCCGAGCACAGCCGGCTCCCAGCTTCCGCGTCCAGGTGACTCGGTCAGTACCACACTGCTCTGCCAGCGCTGGCCCCGAGCTCGCATTTCCCAAGCCTTACTGCTCCGCTCCGCAACTGCTATGAAAAACTCTCGTGTTCAACTCAGCCACGTTTTCTTAATTATGGGGCATCCACACTTTCCTGTAAAACCTGACCAAGAGACTAAAGCGAGGGACAGAATGATGGAAGCAGAGGCCCCCGGTCGCCTACAAAGAGATTCCAGGGGGCAGCAAACAGCGCATGAATCTGAGTGGATCAGGGGTTCATATAAACAATTCAGACCTTATCGCGCCCCTCTGAGCCGACTCGAATTCATCAAAGACGTAGGAGCCGGTTATATACGGCACCCTCCATTAGCTGAAACCCGCCCATAAATTTCCAAATTGTAGGACTCAGCATCAAAAATAAATAAATAAAAAGACGGAGAAACCCCACATGCACTGTGGGCCTCCCTCCCCGCCTCTGCCCTCCCCCCCCAGTCCCCTCGCGCAGCCTCGAATCATGCATAATGCAACACCTCGACTGCGAGCAGCAGGCGCACACCAGATAATTTACACTTGTTTTTATGGACACGAGGAGCTGATCTTTGAAGCCGCCCCTAATGAGATTCCGCTTGGCCCTAACAGCATCCTGAGAGAGGGTTCCGGTTTTCCACTTGGCATCCGGTGCACATTTATAATGCAGAATACAGGCTCATTTAAATGGTGCATGTGGATTTTGGTGCCTTCCCTGTTATAAAGACGGAATTCCATAGACCAAGGAGCACTCAGTCCTCAATTACCAAACCCTACTTTACCTAAGCAATGTCTCTCACTGCCCGTCACACAGATACTCGTCAGAGGCAGGGCCCGCAGAAGGCCTCTATCTTCTGGGACAAACCTCACTGACTCAAGGCCTGCACGAGGTCCAGAGCCCCAATTAGACCCTGCGAAGACTAATTACACAACCTCTGCAGCCCAGCAGAGGAGGGCAAAACCTGAAGTCTGTTGCCTGAATTAAAAACTTCCTCACCCCCAAGGGCTTGCAAGACAAATTTCACTTTCTTGCTCTCTCCCTGCCTTGAATTTCTGCTCCAAGATCAATTCAGTCTTAAGCCAGGCACTTCACAGAAGGGTTTTTCTGATCATCTAGTTTTTCCAGGAGTTTACAGATTCGCTTCCCATAATTAGAACTTCACGTCATACTTACTCTGAATTTCATTTAAGTCGATTTTTAAACAATTTTTAGTTGCTCTTAATGCCACTGTTATAATGATCATTTTGTCTGTATTTAATCTAAATCACAAACTTCTGTCAAAACAGTTGCTCCGTAAGAGCTCTAAGTGTTTACTACTGCAGGGCTGTGAAGCTGTTCAGCAGAAGGGTGCAGAATAAAACCGGCTTGATCTGGTGTGCCTGATTCCTGCAGGGTCCGGCCAGGACAGGCCACCCTCAGGGCGGCTCCCATTCAGGCCAGGGAGGGGCAAAGTGGATCTGAATTTGTTTCAAAGCTCCGCTTGCAACAGGATCAATAAATGAGCATTTTATAAGGAAAGAGGGGCTGGGGATTTAGCCCAGTGGCACCATGCCTGCCCTAAAGCTCAAGGTCCTGAGTTCAATCCCCGGTACCAAAAAAAAAAAAAAAAAAAAA